GGACTACCTATTTATTGTGCCCATGATGCAATAATAACGTGATGTATCAAACCAAAAACCTTTGTTTTTGTTTCGACCATCTGTCAAATTTGCCCATATAATATTTATACCCTTCACCACACTGTGGTACAGGGTATTATGTATTTGTGCATATGTTTGTAACAGGCAAAAGGAATCGAGATAGACCCATGGTTCCTTTTGAGAATATGCATAGAATCACTTTCTGAGTCGATTTATGCATGTCCGTCCATCCGTCCGTCTGTTGATGTTAAATTGTAAACAAAGTACAGGTCGCATTTATTATCCGATTTGGATGAAATTTGGCACAGCTCACTTATTTGGCCCAAGGACAAACCCTATTGAAATTGGGAAAAATCGGTTCAGATTTAGATATAGCTCCCATATATAGTTTCGGCCGATTTTAGGTAAATGGTGCACCAAAGTTCCTGAAAAGCATTTGATTTGCACGAATTTTGGCATAGCGTATTGAATTAAGTCTAGAATGATGTGTGCTAAGTTTCGTGAAAATCGGTTTAGATTTAGATATAGCTCCCACATATAGTTTCGCCCGATTTAAGGTAAATGGTGCACCAAAGTCCCTGCAAATCTTTTGTTTGGCAATAATTTTGGCATTAATTAAGTCTAGAATGATGTGTACACCTCCTATATATATTTTTTCGCCGGTTTTAAGTAAATTGTGCACTAAAGATCCATAGCTTGGCCGATTGACACAACGTACTGAAGTTAATTTAAATTAATATCTGGCAGATTTGCTTGAAATCGCTTCAGATATAGATATAACGTAGTTTTCATATATAATTTCGACTTATTGATGTTAATTGTACACCAAATAATCAATGGGTGTATGATTGAGATTAAATTTTAAACAGTGCAGCGACGTCTTTTCGGATAAATATGTAGAATATACCTAAAGTGGTGAAGGGTATCATATAGTCGGCCCAGTTCGACTTTGCTACTTTCCTTACTGGTTTTATTTTACACTTAACGAGTAGCTTAGCTCATATAAAGTGTCCGGAGGTTCATTCTGTATAATGGGTGAATAAAAACACTTCTTTCCAGAATATTTCCTATATATATCCATATTTTCCATTTACCCTGATATGATTTAATCCATGAAGTGGGCTCAGATCTTCGCCCGAACTTTTTTCTTAATATCAATAATACTTTAATCCCAAATCGTCTGATTTGCTACATATGGTATAGTTAATATGGTCGTCTATTCTAGCCCACCATATTTGGTCTGCTTTTCTCATTTTATTTTATTTATCGATTAGCAAAAATACGCTCCAATAAATCCCCAATTGAGTTTTGGCAAATTCCTTTAATCCCGACGTCTGTTCGTCTGGCTTTTTTAAACAAATAAACAATTTCCCAAGAAAATCACATATTCCGTTGTTTTGTTTTGTTTTTTACTTCCATGGAAAATTTTAAACGAACAACAATTTTTTTAATACCTTAATACGATGGACGATTTGTAGCGACTTCGAAAGCAGCAAAAACAAATATTTGTTTTTCAAAAAAAAAAAAATTCCGAACAAACACCATGCCATGCCGATAAATCTTTCCCCCACCATTTATCATTGTTTGGCTCCTCTCGGCCCCCAGAGGATATTTTAAAAATAAGTTATGCTTGAGGTTATTGTCACAAGAGAACAACAACAAACCGATTCATAAGCTAGCTGAGTGACTGCCTGACTGCTGCATCAACTTCTGGTACCAGTTATTATTTTATTAAATCTGAAGCAAGAAGAAAAAAAACGTACGCATATTTTTCTAAACAAAGTTTTCTTTCTGCACTTCTCACAGCGGGCATTTGAAGGAGACTTCAATTGCCAATGCCTCAGTATTATGAACTTCTTACGTGCTATTCTCGGTTGGACTCCATCCATCGTTCCAAGCAAGGAGTGTGTGTGTGGGGGGAAAAGGAAGGAGCACCACCACATGAGTAGTATTTGTTCGTGGTTGTAGTAGGGGTAGTAGCAACAATAATACCAAAGACATTCCAAGAACAAACGAACTTCTCGAAAAGATTAATATTTGTTTTCTTTATGAAGAGCTGAGATGCTAAAAAGTCTTGTACTTCAAAGTTTTATTTTGCGAATATTGTTGTTGGTGTTCTTCTTATTTTTTCTTTTTTAAAAACTTCCCGAACATTGAAAGGAGGTCGATAACGAAAAAAAGAACTCTAGTATAAAGTGTTTAGACAAGATTGGCATACAGTGGTTTGAATCAAAGAGGGCCAATTCCAAATATTTTTGAATATTTTCAAGTAAATTGACAATACAACCAATAATAGGTGGGTTCTTTAACTTTTCCAGTAACAATTACTCAGTAGTTTCCATGATGCAATAATAAGGTGATGTATCAAAACAAAAACCTTTATTTTTGTTGCAGCTGTCCTCCATGACCATATTAATAGGCCTTGAGTAGAAATTACGAACTTTGACAGTTAATCTAGTCATCAGCTGCGCTAAATGTATCAAAACAAAACCTTTTGTTTTTGTCTCGACCATCTGTCAAATTTTTCTATATAATATTTCACATGATTGGCAACATTGTACATCGAATTCAAGTAGAAATTACCCACTTTGACAGTTAATCAAGACATCAGCTGCGCTAAATGGACTACCTATTCATTATGCCATGGTAGCATCCATTGTGATTTCTCAATGACTTATTTTATGTAAACATAATATTTTACATAACAGCATAATTATAGGGTTCTGTAGATGGTAAGAATTTTAATTTAAAGTATTGTAAAAGTTTTATGAATATGTCGACCACTTGGGATATGCAACGGTGGATCATGATGCAATAATAACGTGATGTATCAAAACAAAAACCTTTGTTTTTGTCTCGACCTTCTGTCAAATTTTTCCTTATAATATTTCACATGGTTGGCAACATTAAATATCGATTTAAAGTAGAAATTACGCACTTTGACAGTCATTCGAGACATCAGCGAAAGAAACTGATTCTGACCGAAACAATGTGCTTACTGGAGAATAACCTCTCTCTGTATTCCCTCCACAGAGAGAAGGAGCGAATTTGGACGAGGACTTTGCAATGGCAAAAAAATCCCAGGGAGATTGATGCAAAACTAAAGGACTATGGTAATACTGGTAATAATATTTAAGAAAAATCAGAACTGCTTCATTCTGATTCTTCTTCAATTACGAGAACGAAACTGATATAAAAAAGAAGGAACAAACAGGAAAAGTCCCGTAATATTGTGAGGCAAATACATGACGACCCAGGACTATGGTATGGAAAATATTACTGAAGAAGAATCATAGCAAACAATTTACGATTGAACAAAAAGAAGAACTCCTGCAGTTTGGCGATACAGAAACTAAGTGCCACTTAAAGAAAAGGAAGTTCGAAGACGAGATTTTTGATGGGGACAATACAAGGCGACCCATATGGTAAAATGGGTAATTTTACTGAAGAAGAATCAAAATAAACGACTTACGAGGACAAAAATGAACCGGACAGAAACTATGTGCCAGCTAGAGATAAAGGAAGATGATGATGGGTACTACAAAAAAAACAAGCTGTACCAGTTGGAGATAAAAAAATTTGATAAGTACTACAGAAGGCCGAATAAGAGATTTTTGATAGAGGGCAAAATCAAGTCGGCCCAATAATCCTATATGGAGGGCAGCGTTGTCTTCAAAAAGTTTGGTAATATTACTGAAGAAGAATTAAAACAAACGACTTATAAGTTCGAAACTGAACCATGCAGAAATTATGTGCCAGCTGGACAAAAAAGGAAAATTATGACAGGGTACTACAGAAGAAGCCAAGCTGTGCCAGTTGGAGATAATAGATGATGATGAGTACTACAGAAACCCGAATAGGAGATTTTTGACAGAGGGCAAAAGCAAGTCGGCCCAATTATCCTCGATAGTGGGTATTGTTGTCTTCAAAAAGTTGTCTAATTGTAGAAAACCTGTGAAGAAAACTAGAAGAGGACAAATGGGAGCAACAAAACTTAAACGGAATTCTGAAACTGAAAAAAACAGGGAAGAAACATAACCAGCTGGATATAAAGAAAGAACCAAGAAGAGAAACCAAGGTCGAAGAAGAGATTTTTGATGGGGAAAAACAAAGTAGTCTATTAATACTAGAAGAGGGCAAATGTCGGTGATAACGATGTTCGTTGCTAAAAAAAAGTATATATAGCAAGAAAACATTAATCCAAAAAATCTTAATGTCTCTAAAGTATTCAAAATAAAATTGGGATTTTAGTAATTTGTCTGTTTCAGAATTCCAATCTTTGGGTATAGGTTACATGGTATAAACCCAATTTATAGGTATTTTAATTAATGTTCGGCGTATTTTCAAATGGCTGCAGTTTGACATTCTGGGGGAAATTTACCTTCAAATAGACCCGTATAAAATCCCTGCCGATTTATTTATTTCTATGCCAACGATGCCTATTTTTCCTGATGGTCATTTGTTTTGGTTTCAAAACACTGTACAAAACATAGAAGTGTTTTCTCCAAAAAATATTAAACAATTCGAACAATAATTTGAAGCCATATTTGCAGTTTAAAGTTGTACTTTTTTGGCAAACTTAAATGCAAATTGGAAAAGTATAAAAAAGAAAGAAATTTATTTTTCAAAAAAGTTTGAAAATAAAAACTGCAAAAACAGAACAAATATTCGACTTATTTTTCTCAAAGTTCTCAAACACATCCACAAACATATGTACATATTGGAAGACCTATTTTTGTTGCAGTTTTCGGTTCCGAAGGCAAACACACACACATACACAACTGGAAACTCAATTAGAATTTATTGCAATATTTATTTATGTGCAAAAAATGCTGATGCTTTTTTTACCTTTTTTCTGAAATTATTATTCCATTAAATAATTGATATTCAACACATATGAAAATAAAAAAAACACACATACGAATGTTGATAATAAGTAAACAAAAAAGTCATACTTAAACTAATTGATAATTTTTTTGTGTTTTATTGTTTCATTACAGAAATGCGAATAATATCCGGCGATGTTTCCTCACACTACTGGGAAACACCCTACTCACAGCCATATTTTGATAATTCCTCAAGGCGTGAGGTTACCTCAATTGTGGGCCAGGCAGCATTGCTGCAATGTCGTGTACGAAATTTAGGAGATCGAGCTGTAAGTAATATTTCCTAGCAAAGAAGAGTAATGTAATTTGGAATGATTTGTTGTGCCACAAAGAGAAATACTCAAAGTCGACTTAGAGATCACTAAACATTATTAATTCTTTTTGGTCAAAATATGGTCAAACATGGGAAGGTTAACTTGAAAAACAATAGAACCCCGAAAGAGGAATGAGATTTTAATATTCCGAACAACTCTTGTGGATTTTTGTTTTGGCTCTAGGTCAATTGAAAAACTCGTTGTTTATGTTTTTCTTTTTTGTTTATTTTTATTTTCCAATATTTCGACTGTCTTCGGCAGTCATCTTCAGGGAAATACTACAAAACATACAAATATTTTAAAGATGTAGACGTAATTGTATTGCACAGATCTTACTTTTATGAGAAAAGCAACCGATTTTCATCACCGTCTATGCTAAACTAAGTTTTTCTTTTTTTTCTCGTCTGTGCTTATGAACTATGTTTCTATAAATATGTGCACGAACAACTATTATAATAAAATTGTTCGCATATTGTCATGAAACAGCTGATTAAAAGAACAGCTGGGTAAACATCTGGCATTACTTGAAAATTCATTTGTGTCATTTGTCATTTTTGTAAATAAAAATCTTCCAATAAAACATCGTACATATCATTATCTAAATATTGCTATTATAAAATAATTACAGAAAAATTAATTTATAGATCTCTATATATATGTTTTAATGTCAGATTTTTATCGACAAAAACGAATAATATTTTATATCTCAATCAAAAAATTATTGTTACCAACTATTAAATAAATCTGTCTATAGATTCCTAACAAATCATTTCACCTGAATTCAATTAAAATTTTAATTAATGTTCGGCATTTGTTATATCCTTCACCACACTGTGGTACAGGGTATTATTTTTCCTTAATTTCGTGACAAAATTTCACCACATTTTTATAACACCTCAACATGTTTATTAATTACTTTTTTCTTTCAAGAAGGTCTCCTGGATACGAAAACGAGATTTACACATCTTAACAGTCGGCATTCTGACCTACACAAATGATCAACGATTTCAATCGCTACACACTGAGGGATCCGATGAATGGACACTGCGTATATCATCACCCCAGCCAAGAGATTCGGGAACCTATGAATGTCAGGTGTCAACGGAGCCGAAAATTAGCCAAGGATTCCGGCTAAATGTAGTAGGTAAGTTAACAATAAATAGGGTTAACATACTTTATGAGGATTTATTTGACATATATGCAAATTGACAATTGAAACCCACTGGGTTAACGATATCCGGTTAAATGTAAATGTATTATAAACCCACTTGGTTAACGAATGGCACAATAAATAGGTATTCCATTTAGCGCCGATGATTAGATTAGTCTAAGCGCATATTTTCTACCACCTTGTTTTCTACCATGGCACAATGAATAGGTCCATTTGACGCAGCTGATATCTTGATTAACTGTCAATGTGGGTAATTTCTACTTGAATTCTTGAATTGGCAACACTGCACCAACCATTTGAAATATTATATTGTTACGAATATAACTTTAGATTTAAGTTAATTTAGATGAATTCCGTTAATTTAAGAATTTGAATTGTAACGTAAATTTCTACTACGCAGTTTATTCGAATAACTTCACAACAACAACTACTGTATAGATTTTTCTACATCCTTCCCTTTCCTCTTTCATTTTCTATTTTGTTATTGACGTACAATTCTTGTCAAACGTCATCATTGATGATCGCTTAATTCCTCTTTCTTTGTTACTCCCTCGCCAGTATATGTGTTGTTGTTATTGTTCACTCAGTGTAAGTTTGTATGTGTGTGTTGCATTGGTGGATTGTTCGTAATCCAGATGTTACCAGATCGTCTAGAAACTTCTGTAGCGACAGGCAAGGCCCATATAAATAGAGGAAATGGCAAGGCAGTTAGTCAGTTGTGAATCAGATCGCGAATTGAAACCGTCAAGTGAAGTAAAGTGCAAAGTAAAGTGTGTCAATAAACTCATTGTAATAATCGTAATCAGAAAGAACCCGCGTTTTATTTAGTACGAACTGTACTGAGTACTAGCGGAAATGTCAAAAATAGTACAAAACGTGACACAATCAGTAGGTACTCCATTTGTCGCAGCTGACTATCTTATTAACTGTCAAAGTGTGTAGTTTATACTTGAATTAGATGTGCAATGTTGCCAACCATGTGAAATATTACTAGAAAAAAATTGACAGATTGTCGGGACCATGATACGATAATTAGGTGATGTACCAAAGCAAAAATATTTGTTTTTGTTTCGACCATCTGTCAATTTTGTTCTTATACTAATTCACATGGTTGGCAACATTGCACAACGAATTCGAGTAGAAATAACGTACTTTGACAGTTAATCGAAACATCATCTGCCATAAATGGACTACCTATTTATTGTGTCACTTTCAGATTAAGGTTTTTTTGGCAACAAAATCCAACGGCCTAATAGTTTCTACGGTGTTAAAGTTATTCCTAAAAAGTTTCAAAGGGTTTGTGTACTTCCCTTCATTTATTATTTAATTAAATTTCTACAATAAATTTTTTATTTGGTATTTTCGTGAAAAAAAAAAACAAAAATTAATTATTGTTTTTTTTTCTTACAGTCTCTCGTGCTAAAATTCTTGGTAATCCAGAGCTATTCATTAAAAGTGGCAGTGACATTAACCTGACATGTTTGGCAATGCAATCACCGATACCACCCTCATTTATCTATTGGTACAAGGGCAAACGTTTAATGAACTATTCACAGCGTGGCGGCATTAGTGTAATAACCGAAAGGACAACGCGCACCAGTAAACTTTTAATATCGAAAGCAACACCAGCTGATTCGGGAAATTATACATGTTCGCCAAGTAGTTCAGGTACGGTATAAAATAATAAAAAAAAAACGCAATTTTGGGCAACAATTTATGACTCCATTGTTATTTCTTTTCAGATTCGGCGTCAGTGGTGGTACACGTTATCAATGGTGAACATCCCGCAGCCATGCAACATGGCAATAATAGTGCTACAACACTTATACCCTCCTATCGACGACGTCGAACACTGTCAACCACATCATTCAACGGTGGTGCTGTGGGACGGCTGGCATCATTATATTTCAATATATCAAAAGTTTATAGCGTTTTATGGTCGATAATTGATTTTATGATTGCAACAAATTGTTGTTTAGTTATTTTCGGTATCTGTCTGTCACAACGACTAGTGCACACAAGTGGTCGTTCAAATCATTTGCTAAATAGGTGACTGTAAACGGGTCAATGTTATGAAATTGACTGTTCGGTCTGGACCGAATCTAATGCAAGGCCGCCCATTACATTCAGTATTAAGATCAATAATGACATCAAGAATAACAACAACAACAAAAAACAGCAAAACCATTATCATCCGTATCGTTGATAGTAGACGAAAAGACATGGGCACTATCACTAAAGCAACAACAAAATAAGTGATGATGTTGGAGGCAAAGAAAATGGATGGCTTTTTTTGCTCGTTCGATGTAAAATCGATTGCAGCATTAGATCGGTATTATCGTTTTTTTTTTTAGTTTTATATTCTAGACAAGAGATAAGTGAGAGAAAAGAAGTTGGCAACGCGAATAGCAGCAATGAGTGTACACTACTATTAGGGATATACAAATCGACTTTCGTCTTAAAGATTTATGGATTTTTGTAACGAAAAATAAAATAATTTAAATTATTTTAAATTGACTGGATTCAACTTATTATCAAATAATTCCAACACACGAAAGTCGAAAATCCATTCCCTGTCATGGATTATTATCAACATCATTGGCATCATCATCCTCATTTTTATCATACAAACTAGAACAATAGCAACTGGGGTTTCCACCTAAATGCTGATGCAATGGGTTCCAGGCATTAGATCCACAACAGCAGCAGCAACAACAACAACTAATTAAAATTGTGTATGCAAAATATAATAAAGAAATCGTCGTCGTCGTCAAAGAGACAGAAAGTAAACTTTGCATTTGTTTATATTGTTCATAGTTATTAATTATTATCATACTATTATTATAAATAAGTAAGTTTAAAGATTTTAATTATGTATAACATAATATTAAGTAGATAAAAGTAAAAATGAAACAAACAAAACCATAAAGAGAGAAAAAACCAGAATGCTAATATTTCCAAATGGTTTTCATTTTCGTACCAATGCTATATAAGTTCAGTAGAATGATTTCCAAACCAAAAAAAAATTATTTAAAAAGAAAAATATAAAGTTTTCTAATATTTTTGTTATTTTTATTTTGGGTTTGACTTCACTTGGAATTTAAGTTACAATTAAGATAACGGGTTCATAATCAATGCGAAACAACCTGGGAATCTTAATTATGACTACGTACCTATGAAATAATAGACATATGGACATGTTTAGTCACTATTATTCATTTCATAATCATTCACCTAAACTTATATAGTAATCATTTTAATGAATATAATAAATAGACTTAAACAAAAAATTCATACATATGATAAGGTACGAAAATAACACCACAAAATAATAATAAATAATTATAATAAAAACTAAGTAAAGGGAATATATAGGGAGTTTTTTTTATGATAAATTAAAAAGCAAGGTAAGTTTTCGTGGTTCGGGAATATTGTTAATTATACCCTTCACCACACTGTGGTACAGGGTATTATGTCTATGTGCATATGTTTGTAACAGGCAAAAGGAAACGAGATGGACACATGGTTCCTTTTGAGAATATGCATAGAATCACATTTTAAGTCGATTTATGCATGTCCGTCTGTCTGTCCATGTTAAATTGTAAACAATGTACAAGTCGCATTTATCATCCTTATTTGGCCCAAGGACGAACCCTACTAAAATTGGGAAAAATCGGTTCAGATTTAGATATAGCTCCGGTTTAGATTTGGATATAGCTCCCATATATATTTTCGTCCGATTAAGGGTAAATGGTGCACCAAAGTCCCTAAATATCTTTCGATTTGCACGAAATTTGGCATAGCATAATGAATTGGGTCTAGAATGATGTGTGTTAAGTTTCCCGTCTGTCTGTCCATGTTAAATTGTAAACAATGTACAAGTCGCATTTATCATCCTTATTTGGCCCAAGGACGAACCCTACTAAAATTGGGAAACATCGGTTCAAGGTAAATGGTGCACCAATGTCCTTAAATATCTTTCGATATGCACGAAATTTGGCACAGCATACTGAGTAAAGCCTGGAATGATGTGTGCTAAGTTCCGTGAAAATCGGTTCCGATTTAGATATAGCACGCATATATATTTTCGTCCGATTTAAGGAAAATGGTGTACCAAAGTCCCTAAATATCTTTCGAGTTGCACGAAATTTGGCATGTCGTACTAAATAAAGTCCAGAATGATATGTGTTAAGTTTCCTGACAATCGGTTTAGATTTGGATATAGCTCCCATATATATTTTCGTCCGATTAAGGGTAAATGGTGCACCAAAGTCCCTAAATATCTTTCGATTTGCACGAAATTTGGCACAGCATAATGAATTGGGTCTAGAATGATGTGTGTTAAGTTTCCTGAAAATCGGTCCAGATTTAGATATGGCTCCCATATACATTTTCGTCCGATTTAATGTATATGGTACACCAAAGTCCATATATATCTTTCGTAATGAACTTAGTATAACCTATAAGTTAGATATTAATGCTGCACCGAATTCCCCAGGTGGGTCCGATTGGCAAAAAAATTTGCACAACTTATGGAAGTTTGAGATAACGTGTGGCAAGTTTTGTTGAAATTGATTCAGCTTTAGATATAGTTCCTATGTATAGTTTCGTCAGACTTTAAGTAAAATGTGCACCAAAGACCCAAAGTTATATAGTTTATATAACCTATGATGTGGAAAGTTTTATTGAAATCGGTTCAAATTTGGATAGAGCTACCATACATATTCTCTCTCGATTTTAACTAAATGATGCACCAAGAACTGAAAATGAGGCCGATATTCTGTGACAAGATTCGATGAAATCGGCTTAGATTTCGATATGGTATAGGTTGCAGAAAGATATGTTTATGGGACAATTTCATTTTACTGATCCTTCAAAAATGCGACGTCTGTTAAAATTCATCTGTTGATGATACCCAAACTGGTGAAGGGTATCATATAGTCGGCCCCGTCCGACTTTACAACTTTCCTTACTATGGATATGTGTAACAGGTGGTCTTAGGGTGTATATTATAAGGCATAATAAACCAATTTTAAAGGATTTGACACATTTAACGTTAATAGGTTCTCATTTACCTGAAATCGGACGAAACATATATTTATCTATATCTCAGTCATTTTTGACCAGCATTATTCGGTACTTATGCACAAAATTTTGGAATTGGTACTTATGCATAATTTTTCGGAATATGGGAGCTATGTCCAACTATGAACCGATTCAAACCAAACCAGTAAGAAGAGTAGAAAAGTTGAGCGGGACGACTATCTGATACCATTCACCACATTGATTTCATATAAGAGATGCTACCAAGTCTTTTATTTTATTTTTAAAGTACCATGACATCGAAAGAAATTAAATATGTGGTGTGTCTCAATCGTACAAAATTTGAAAGTTTGGTCCACAATTTACATAAAATCGGAGGAAAGTATATATGAAAGATATATTTAAATCTTAACAGATTTCAAGAAAACATCACTTGTGTAAATTTGTATTTAATTTAGTGCGCTGTACAAAATGTTGTCTCCATCGGACAAACTTTTTAAGTTTGTTGCACCACTACTTTTTACTACGATGACGAAATTTTCCTTTATGATATCAACAAAAATAGTAAAAACTAGTAGATTCTTGCAGTACGGGAACAGACCAAAAATCGGACGAATTTTCATCATGTTAAATTTTGTTTCGATCTGGCAACTCCTTCATATAGAAACAGGTGTTCAAACAAGACGCATCCACAATTTTTTACAATGGAAAAATTAGAAATGCGTTCTTTCATTGTAAAAAAAAAATCGGATGCGTCTTTCTTTAATAACGTAGATAGAAGTTTCCAAAACACTTAACTTTTTTCTGTTTATACCGCTCTTTTTGTGCTAGGCTAAGAACTTTCCGAACTGCCCTCGTATGGTAGCTATACCTAAATCCGATTTCGACAAAACTTCACATACGCCCAACTCTACTCAATTCAGTACGCTGTGCAAATTTTTGTCTCAATCGGAGAAAACTTGGGAATTTGCTGCACCTTTTACATAAAATCGTACAGAAATATATATGAGAGCTATACCTAAATCTGAAGCGATTTGAGCAAAACTCTACTTAATTCAGTATGCTGTGCAAAATTCGTTCAGACATTGTGACTGGGAATCGGACGAAAATATATATGGGAGCTATATCTAAATATAAACCGTTTTTCTCCAATAGGGTTCGTCCTTGAGCCGAATATGTAATTTGTGCCAAATTTCATCTCATTCGGATCATAACGCAACCTGTACTTTTTTTACTATTTAATATGGATGGACACGCAAAAATCGACGCAGATAGTAATTCTATGCATGTTCTTAAAAGGAACCATGTGTCTATCTCATTTCATTTTGCCTGTTACAAACATTTGCACAAAAACATAATACCCTAGCGATTTTCTATGTTATGTTAGGTATTTCAACACCCACACATGATGTATAAGGGATAATCCTTAAAAATAAGTTTTCCGGATAGGCATATATTTCCAATTTCAAGTTTAATACTTCTCCTATAATCATGCATTACGGAATATTGGTGGGTACAAAATCGTCACTTCAAGACCAATGTTCGATTCTGTCTATAATTTGGCATTTCGTTTTCTAACGGCAGTTCCTCACCATGGCATAGTCCTCATTATCCTGATCAATTTTAGGTATTTTTAATTTCTACCTCATGGTGGACGTTCAGCCCGGTCGAACTTAACAACGCTGTTACTTGTTGTTAAAATAGTCTAACATAAAAAATTCTCTTACCTCCAACCGTGCACAACATATTTAAATTAAACAACGTTTTATAACCTCTTTATTACAACAATATTAAGTTTTACTCCGTTAACACCTCATGAATATCTTTATGATGTACTTAATGTTATAAAACGACACAAAAAGGTCCTTCTCTTCGTAAAAGTCAACAACAAATTATGTGTATGTGTGTTTATTGTAAAATATTCCTCCTTTATATTCTTTAATTATTTCTCATTACTATACGACGTTATTGTTGCTGTTTGTTGACTTATAAATTATAAATGAAATAGTGCTTTCAGCCATTAACACTACATGATGGATTATGAACAGTGAGTGCTAACATCCTTAGGGTGGAGAAACGTGGTAAATGTTTAAGGATTTGGTTTTATGAATTAAAGCCTACAGGCATATACTTCGAATAGTAAGGAGAAGTTCAATGTAGTTAATGTGGTGCCACATTAAAAACTATTATAAATATTTTAGTATTCTAAAGTATATGTATGTAACATGATGTATACCTAAAATTCTTTGTTTTTCTTTTAATCTCATCTAAATTTTATCCAATTATAAACAGTATTGTTGGGTTGAAAAAAAAACCAAAGATATTAACTAAAAAACAGAAATCTCAAAAAAATTTCCTTAACTTAATTCAAACCAAATAAAAAATCATAACAAATAAAAACAACAAAACCAACAAATTATATACCTAATAAAATATTTATTAAACAGTATTCAAACGTAAACGCTTAAAGCGCCAACCCAACAATAAATAATATAATCAAATGGCCGTTACATTTGGTTTCGTTGTCGATTCTGTCGATGCTGCTGTGGTGGCCACTTGCACTTCCTTATCCTTTTCAGCATCACCACTTTCCTGCTTCTTTTGGCCTTCTTCCAGTTGTTTCGTTTCGGCAGCAACCTCTTCGACGGCATCTTCAATCAATTGATAGGTAATTGGTGCCGGTTGTTTAGGTGGCAACCAATCGGGTATAATCTTATCATGCAAACGCCAACGACCATATTCATTGGAAATGTGTTTCTCAAACACCACATATTCTAATACATCTTTGGTCAAAATTTCACTACCATGCATAAGACGACCAAAACGATCATAAATTGCCAACATTTGCTGCGTATGGAAACGTACGGTGACTTGGGCGAAGAGATTTTCTTTGGAAATAACATCAGTGACACGAGCATGTACCATACGTGGTGGTTCCAACGACTTAAGGAATGTCCAACGTATCGTCTTATCCTTTACATTATGCATCATTTCGGGATAACAACGTTCGGTAACAAATTCTCTTAGTTGATGTTTATCCTTATCGGCCATATATTTGTGGGCAGCAATGTAGATATCTTGGGCAATGGTTGGGAAATTATCGGTATCGAAATCTTCTTCATAGGTGCGAATTTTACGCACAGCCAACATACTTTTGGATTTCTTTTCCAAAAATTCGAATTTCTGCTTGGCACCAGCGGTGGAAATAAACGATTTCTTGCCGTCACCTTCTGGTGGTACGTAAGCCTCAAAAATACCACCAGTACAACTGATATGGAATGGTCGCTCCAACCATGGTCGTGGTGGCAAGAAACCACGTTCTTTCATACGTTTCTTCAGCTCTTCCTGTGGCAGCTCATTGGCTTTCTCCTGGAAATCTGGCAAATCCATTTTGACAAACTTCATCTTGCGCAGTTTCTTGAACTTGGGATTCCAATGTTTCGTCTGACGATGACGAACCTGCTGGCTTTGCACCAACGATTGTACACCCGGTGTCAGCATGCCTGGTTGTACATACTAGAAGAATAGAGGGATATGAAAGGTAATTATCACACAAATATGTTGACATATCATTGATGAACTTACCTGCAAGAATTTTATGCAGCTCCTTGTGGAGCATAACAGTTCCATTGTTTACGTAAGTTTTTATTGATATTTCTGTAATGGAAAAACAAGCCGTCTCCTCCTAAAAGACTCCACAAGAATTTTTTATACAATCAACCATATGTCGGCAAATGTCAGCCAACACAGAGTTGCCAATTTGAATGTATTATTGTGAAGCGCAATCAGCTGTATTAGGGGGCAAGGTAATTTGGCAAATTCGTATTGTAGGCTAGATGGTTTGAAAGAGTTGTAGTTTAGAATATATTCCGGCAGCCACAAGGTATATTTAATAAGGGAGGCGCATCGGTCCAGCTGTTGGTGCAAACAAATGTTAAAAATATTGTTGTAATGCCGAAGCAAGCAATTAAAAAACAAAATTATAAATGAAATTATATTATAAATTAACATTTTCTACAATAATTTGTGTTAAAAAATCTATTGCTTTAAGCAGAATCTATTGTTTTAATCAGAATTTTTTGACATATCAAAATACAACAACCGATGTTTGTTGTAGAAATTCGCCGATGCGGCTACCTTGGGCAGCCATTTACTTTAATTCTAAACTCAATTATCCCCCTAATATAAAAATAGTCATTAATCTGTGTTGACAGATACACCCTTAGCCTACTACATTTTATTACGTGTAATGAAAATCTGAATCAAATCGAGAACTCACTTCGCACTCACAAACAAATCTTGCAGAAAGTTTGTTTTTTTTTTATAAGAAAAAACAAAATAAAATCCTTAAATGAATATGAGTTTTATTTATCTATATCTATCTACAAATTTCTAGGGCTCCTCTAAAACATTTTTTCCTCCTAAAAAATAATCCTCAGTCACTAAAAAAATCTACATTGATGTCTGTTTTTAAACAGCCTTAAGGTTATTCGTGGTCAGGCGTCTCTATTTCTATAAAAAATCATCAGGCCATCTAAGATCTGTTTTTCAAGGAAAACAAAAGGTTCTCCTTATGACATTTTTTTGAGAGAAAATATTTTTGCGCTGTTATTTAATTACAAAATGCAATCCTCAAGCTCCTCTGAGGATTGTTTTTCTATTTTGTAGGTTTTGTTAAAATTAATGTTCGTTCGCTTTATATGAAATTTAAAAAAGGTTATACTTTTTGAAATTTCATAGCCGAGGCGGTGAATTGATGGATCAAATTTTCATGTCGGGCTTTTGAGAAGCCTTTCCATTCCCTGTTAGTAACGGAGAATGGACTGCTCCATCGAGAGATTATTAATACTTTTTTATATCGGAATTGGCTGGTATCATGGTATAATTATTGCAAGGTAGAGCACAGCTACCAACTGATTACAATTTTCTCAAGGTGGCATGTTCTATCAAATCAAAATACATTTTTTGTGAATGTGTGTGTGTTTTGTTTTGAATACTATGTATGTGAAATAAATTGAAATATATTCGAAATTAATTGAAACGAAAATGACATTTTTAACTCGTCCATCTGGAAAGAATTACTTTGTTATGGATGAAACAAACATTTCATGGTATTACCTACTGACTTTTGGAAAGAAATTATAACCTTTCAATTATTTTTCGTGTTTTTAGTTATGTGTTGAAAAAATGTCAAATAAACACAACCAATTGATGCAGATATTTATTTTATTTTTGGCAGAAGAAGCCACCACCTACATTGTTGCTTTTCTGTTATTCAACTCAAGCTGCCCTACCTTGTATCATTGTACCATGGCCTACCTTACCTAAAATTACAAAAAAAATATACACATAGTCTATATTCCAAGTTCTGTGACACATCTAATATATATTTTTTTCTGCGTAATAATTTTTTTTTTAATTATTCGCATTTGTTCTTTTCAATTTCATTAATAATTTTTACCACTAAAAACATCTCACTTAGAAACGCCAAACGCTAACGCTTTTAAAAAAATCCCACGCTGACATACCAATGGCAACGCTGTCGTGTCGACTGGCAACATATGTTTGGCAAATAATTTTTCATAGCATCACCAACTACATAAAATAATTACAGGAAATCTTTTTGAAAATATAAACAAATAATTTATTGGGATATTGTTTTGAACGAGATGTCCTGTTCGGTAAATAATCGCTGGCAAATCTGTCGAATTTGTTTAAAGAGTGGTAATCATGAATTATATCCAATATTCCAAAATGTGGAGAAGACCAAGGATTTAGGCAATTTGCCAGAGAAAATACAACAGAACGGTGGTATAAAGGTAATTATTCAGACAAAAAGGAAGATCATTATTATAAGATAATATTCGAAATTCAATTATCTTTTAGATTTTTGATCAAAAAAATCTACCACGTAAAATATGCAACCGATGTCTGCTGTTATTAAGGGCCGCCTGTAAGTTTCGCGACCTGTGTGAACAGTCAAATGAGCAGTTGAAACAGTTCATAAATCCCCTTAAAATAGAGAATGGACAAATTGTGGCAAGCCACCCAAATGACCAGGATCAGCAGCAGGAATGTATTATATTAAATACAAATACTCAGGATATCGGTGATATTGAGAACAACGATGACAAGGAATCTTTGGTAACTATTATGAAAAATGAATACGATGATTGCCAGGACAACAATAATATGGATGGCCATATGGAGGAGGAGGACGAGGAGGAAGATCAAGACGAGCAAAGGGGCATGGAAAATCAGGAAGCTATGGCAGATGACGACGATGATGAAAATCAATATATTTATGAACAATTAACTGAAAATAGTCAAGATCATGGATTTTTAGCGGAAGATTCCAATTCATATTCGCTAGATGATAATATACACATAGAATATTATGATGATTCAAAAGAACAATCCTTTAAAATTCAGGCTATGGCAGAAGAAAAAACTACCAGCAACAGTAATCAATTAACTAAACCGGCAAGAGCTCCTAGACGTAGAAGAGGTCGAACGAGCATCAATGAAGATATTAAACCCGAAGAGGGTGGTGTATATCGTTGTAGTTTTTGTGAGAATGCTTATCATGATAAGGCGAAATATGTTTTGCACATAAAAATGCACAAGAAAGTTAAACCACATGAATGCGAGTAAGCAATGAAATGCATGGAAGGCTTAGTATTGTACATTTATTTAATTTCATATTTTTTTTCTTGTAGAATTTGTGGCAAACGTTTCTCCACAACACCACAATTATCCAGACACATGAATTCACACACCGGTAATCGACCGTATAAATGTCAATTTTGTGATGCCAGTTTTGGTGATCCATCCACGAAAATTAAGCATGAAAGGTAAGATACATAATACACAATAAAATATAAATGTAATTCAATAAGATTTTTGCTTTCAGAATCCACACCAATGAACGTCCCTACAAGTGTACACTTTGCCCCAAATCTTTTGCCTATTCGAATGTTTTAAAAGTTCACATGATGGTACATACTGGAGAGAAACCTCACAGGCAAGTTTTTATTTTTTTGTGAATATCTATAGGAACATATTAAAATTGTATTTGTTAATTACAGATGCGCCTATTGTAGTCGTGCCTTCTCTCAACTCCATCATAAAAATGCCCATGAAAAATGTCATAAAAGAAAAATTATTGTTATGGGCACTGAAGATAACGATGATGATTTCGATGAAGATATGAAGGAATATGAATTGACAAAGAATTAAATTATATATAATTATGTACCTTAACATTAGGAAGATGGGTATATGTTTTGTTTGAGTAAAAGAATGTTCAAAGTAATACAATATATTTTTATTTAAAACTCATAGAACTTGTTTTTTTTTATATATATATTGAAGTCAGCAATATTAATACATTAAATTTATGTTTAATTTTTTTTTTTTAATGAAATCCTGTGTACGTTGCTGAAAGAATATATATATTATATTTCAAAACTAATATTTGAGCCATAAGCGTGATTTTTAAACAATATATTTCATAAAAACATTTTAACCATAAACGTGGATTTTTAAAGAATAGATCAAAAAAATATTTGAGCAAATCAAATATTTAAGCCATAAGCCTGGATTTTTAAGGATTGTTTTTAAAATTTAGGAGAAACAAAGTTGTCGATTTTTGTAGAAAAGACTTGTGTTTAAAAAAAGATATAAAAAAATATAAATGAATTTTCAAAAAACAGTAAAGACATAGACAGTCATACACGTTAATTTTTAAAGTATATTAAAAATAGTAGGACCAGACCCGTAGATTAAACAATAAATATTAAAGAGAATAATAAAAATATTAAAAATGAAATATTCTTTAAAAAATTTGCGCTTAGGTTAGGTTTGGGGACGTGCATTCACTTATGTGGCTGGAGCACTCTGAGACCGTTAGGTCCGTTGTGATCATCCACGAGAAGAAAAGAGATAAGGAGAGATCTATAGGGGAGATACGATTGGGGAAATAAAGAGAGATGAGAAACTTACAGAAAGATATAAGAAGGTAAGTTTGGAATAATGTCGATGGTTATAGAGATAAGACAGAAGATATATTACATGTCAAGGTTGCACTTTCCCAACCACTTTAGGTTTCTAATTATGCTGTAGATTAGAGCAGGTTCGTTTGTTGAGAATAAGCTAAGACTCGGTGGAAAATGAGCACCCACTAGTCTGTGCCGCCTGTAAACCAGGGCTGGACAGTGACACAGAAGATGCTCAATTGTCTCCGTCTCCTCCTCGTCAACGCAGAGTCTACAGTAATCAATTGCATCAAGATCCCATTTACTAGTAAAGGCCCTGATATTGGAATGACCAGTAATGATTCCTGTCATTACGCCTAGGTTCGTTGTGCCAAAGTTCATAGGCTCTTTCGTCGAAGAACGCCTCAAAGTTCCGGTAAAGATGACATATGGGTGGTTTGATTGAGTCATCAATTGCTAGATCTGCGAATTGAGATCCTTGTCTAGCTAGTTCGTATGCACTTCCATTACCCAAGATGTCACGGTGTTCTGGTACCCAACACAGCCGATAGCTGCAAGCTGTTCTACACTTGAGGACGGCCTCAGATTTGATATAAAAAGATTTGATGGCTTTTAGAGCCGCTTGACTATCCACGGTTCAACGACCTCTTCATCCAGACTT